CATGCAAATAAAGGTCCATTAGTGGCGTTCCCCAGCAACTGCTGTCTTCGGGATGAACCTCCAGTCACAGTAACAACCTACATTACTGCAGACTCCCAGAGGTTAGTAAAATGCCAGCAACGTAGCGGGGAGCTCAGAGGGGGTCCTCTGCTCTGGACCACTATCCCTCTTCATGGGCACAGGACCAGTGGGTTGGACCCCAAAAAAGCCAGCCAAGAGAAAAACCTGGGAACCAAGGTTAACCCTTACCCTTTCATCTAGGACAGCACCTAGCTAGTTTTATTACAGCCTGCTTATACACGCTTAGTGCATAGTGGGACCCCTACACGTTCACCTGGAGTAATGCGGCAGGCAAAGGTAGACTGGTGGAGTGGGACACAGGCTCAGCGGGGTCCCCCCTTGAAATGCTGCATTCTGGAAGACAAGGTGTACAGTGTCATGGGAGAGGGTCTCACGGCAAGGAGCCTCCAGATTAAATGGGTAACTGTGTAAGGTGAACGGGTTCACTTCTAAATACAGAGCGACGCTTTAAAGTTGATTTCACAAGACCATGGCCCTGCCTGATCATTAGCACGTTTACGGAAGGGTCCCTACGCGTAGGGCAAGTAGGCCCCCCCTCTAAATCGCCCCTTGTCTTCACCCCCTACCCACCTCCGAGCAATGTCCCTTGGGTCCACCTATTGCTCACCTCCCAATACCGCCCTTTTAGAGAAAACAGAATGAAGTATCTTTTTGTGTTACTAAGTAACTTGTATAGAACTTGTTAAAGTGAATGTAAAGGCATTAGTGTTTACTACAGTAATAAACATTCTACTTACCTGCTCTGTGTAATGGTATTGCAAAGTGCAGCCCCAAATCCTCCTCTACTGAAGTCCTCTACTGGCACTGTAGGCACCTCTTCAGTGTGTGCCTCCATAGCAAGCTGTTTGCTCCTGAGCTGGGCTGTGTGCATCCATAGACACACACAGCCCTGCTTGGCCCCACCGCTTGCTTCCATGTCACAGGATTTTATTGACAGCAGCAGGAGCCAATGGTTCCCACTGCTGCCTCTGAGACCTATGAATAGAGAGAGTGCAGCGCCGCTGCTTTCAGGCAGAGCGCTGGATCGAGATAGAACTCGATAGGTAAGTATTTAAAGGGGCTGGGGGGAAAAGCTGATCATGGAAGGTTTTGTCACCTTAAAGCGGTTGTAAAGGCTGAAGGTTTTTTACCTTCATGAATTCTATGCATGAAAGTAAAAACTCTTCTGTGTTCAGCAGCTTCCCCAGCCCTCTCAATACTTACCTGAGTCTCATCGCGATCCAGCAATCTCAATGACAGCCTCGGCTGCCCCAGTGTCTGCCTCCTCATTGGCTGAGACAGCAAGTGGGAGGAGAGGGGGGCAAGCCTCAACCCCGTGTGTGTGAATGGACTAAAAAAAAAAAAAAATTTTTACAAAAAAACCTTTTGTAATTGCTTTAATGCCATCAATGAAATCCAGTGACAAGGGAGTGGGGCCAACCTGCACTGTGTGTCAATAGATGCACACAGCCCGACTTTGGATTCAGCCTACACAAGTACGGTTTTCTGTGGGGGCTGGAGGAGCCAAAAGCACCAGTGGGGGATCCCAGAAGAGGAGGATCGGGACTGCTCTGCAAAACCATTGCCCAGAGCAGGTAAAAGAACCTTTAACATAAAATTACGTAAAATAAAATTGTTGACTGTGAGCCTAAGTGGGATGTGTAAACAATGCCTTGTCTGGAGATACCTGAATATTTTCAAACTCAGAAAATATTTTTTTTTAGCAATTTAATTCAGGTCTTGAGCTCCTTCTGAAAATGCTAGTTGCCTGGCTAACATACCCATCCAGTGGCTTTAATAGTTTTAGTCACTAACCCAGTGGTCACAGAAAATATATTATAAGATGGCTGGGGTGTGTAGCAGACATGGATGAATGTAAAACATAAAGTCTTTTCACAAGGATCAGAGGATGAAAGACAAGGATGGGATACAGAGGAGGATATGAAAAGTGGAAATGTGGAGCAAACAGAATAAAATGGAGAGCAGCAAAAACACTGTTGGGTTGTAGAGCTTCCTCTAGTGGTGCACAACATACACTACAAAGCAAAGGGCTGTAACATCATAGTCGGTCATAGAGAATGCTGCCAATCCATCAGCACTTACCCCTTTTATGGATGCTGCTCCTATTTTTTTTTTTTCAGGTGCTCCTATTATTATTATTATTAATATTATTATTATTAATAGTAATAATAATTACATTTTTAATTTTGTTTATATTCAACCCCACTGACCTGTTCTGCAGGTCACTCACACGCCCAGCAGATCCAGTGCTTTCCTGTTCCTGTTTTGCACCACCGAGAGATCAAGGCTAGGCACAAAGTTTAAAAAAAAAAAAAAAAAGGTTAAAAACCCAAAATTATATTGCCCGGGGGGGGGAGGCAAAGAGCATTAGATCATCCATCTGGGAGCAGTGGGGGGGGGGGGGGGGGGTGATGGTCCCCTTTACTGGTGGCCAATAATTTGTTCAAGAGGATGCTGTAGACTCAATTCACAAAGCTTACACACCACAGGATAAGGATCCTTTTTCCAAAAAAAGTAATTTATTTTCAGCTGAGTTTAATGACATTTGAAACATAAGGGCCCATTCACACGGACATAAAAAATGCTGCGTTTAGATGTTCACAGAACTACAGTATCTGCTGTACGCATCTAAACGCAGCACTATAGTAATCAATGAGCCCCTACACACAGCTGTGTCTACATATAAACATACTTTAGGCATGTATTTACACTGGATCTTTCTTTCATGGAAAATGTATATATCTAAACACTGTTTTCTGCCCGTGTGAACAAGGTCTAGCTCTGCCAGCAAGAACCTTTCTGAAAATGTTTCTATGTGCAGGATTTTTACCCCTGTGAATGAGCCCTAAGGGTGCATTTATAAAGCAGCAGTATGGTTGTACCCCAGCTGAACCACTGCTTTAGAAAAAAATTGCTTATATGCACAGCAATGTGCTTTTTAAATATGTTTAGCATTCTGATGAATTACCGGTGTGTCAGACCACTGTGGAGGGACCGCTGCTTCCACACGTAGAGCTAGGGTCCTTCGCAGCATGATGGTAGGGGGCAGGCTTTTCTACTGAAGCTATGGCTGCTTTCCAAAGAATACAAACTGTAAGACTTTGTTTTTGTTTTGAATGTACACTGTTAAAAAAAATTAAAGGAACACTTTGTAATCAGAGTCTAACATCAAGTCAATGAAACTCCTGGGATATTGATCTGGTCAGTGAAGTAGCAGAGGGGGTTGTTAATCAGTTTCAGCTGCTTTGGTGTTAATGTAATTAACAGGTGCACTAGATGGCAACAATGAGACGACCCCCAACACAGGAATGGTTTTACAGGTGGAGGCCACTGCCATTTTTCCCTACTCATCTTTTCTGACTGTTTTTCACTAATTTTGCATTTGGCTAGGGTCAGTGTCACTACTGGTAGCATGAGGCGATACCTGGACCCTCAGAGGTTGCACAGGCAGTCCAACTCCTCCAGGATGGCAAATCAATACGTACCATTGCCAGAAGGTTTGCTGTCTCCCAGCACAATCTCAAGAGCATGGAGGAGATGCCAGGAGACAGGCAGTTACTCTAGGAGAGCTGGACAGGGCCGTAGAAGGTCCTTAACCCATCAGCAGGACTGGTATCTGCTCCTTTGTGCAAGGAGGAACAGGATGAGCATTGCCAGAACCCTACAAAATGACCTCCAGCAGGCCACTGGTGGGAATGTCTCTGACCAAACAATCAGAAACAGACTTCATGAGGGTGGTCTGAGGGCCTGACGTCCTCTAGTGGGCCCTGTGCTCAATGCCCAGCACCATAGAGCTGGATTGGCATTTGCCATTGAACACCAGAATTGGCATGTCCACCACTAGCGCCCTGTGCATTTCACAGATGAGAGCAGGTTCACCCTGAGCATGTGTGACAGACGTGAAAGTGTCTGGAGAAGCCGTGGAGAACATTATGCTGCCTGTAACATCCTTCAGCATGACTGTTTTGGTGGTGGGTCAGTGATGGTCTGGGGAGGCATATCCATGGAGGGACACAGACCTTTACAGGCTAGACAATGGCACCCTGACTACCATTAGGTATTGGGATGAAATACTTAGACCCATTGTCAAATCCTACACTGGTGCAGCAGGTCCTGGGTTCCTCCTGGTGTACGACAATGCCCAGCCTCATGTGGCAAAAATATGCAGGCAGTTCATGGAGGATGAAGGAATTGATACCATTGAATGGCCCCCACGCTCGCCTGACCTAAATCCAATAGAACACCTCTGGGATATCATGTTTTGGTCCATCCGACACCACCAGGTTGCACCTCAGACTGTCCAGGAGCTTAGTGATGCCCTGGTCCAGATCTTGGAGGAAATACCCCAGGACACCATCCGTCATCTCATTGGGGGCATTCCCTGACGTTGTCAGGCATGCATACAAGCATGTAGGGGCCATACAAACTACAGAGTACCATATTGAGTTGCTCCAATTAAATTTCAGCAAAACGGACTAGCCTGCTGCATCATTTTTTCCCTTGATTTTCGGTGTGTCTTTGAATTCAGTCCTCTGTAGGTTGATCATTTTCATTTCCATCAAACAATGGGGCATCCTTGTGTTCCTAACACATTACCCAGTCCATATCAGTATAGATATCCAGCAGGAGATTTCTCTCCATTGAGATCTGATGTGTTTTCAAAGTGTTCCCTTCATTTTTTTGAGCAGTGTATTTTAGTGCAAATAAAATGAAAGTGGTAATGTTCTTTGGAACTTTGTGACTTGAGGTGTATGTGGTTCCCCTGCAACAATGGCCAGTAGGCAGCAGTTGCTGGTGACAGTCAGCAGGCTGCAGGAGAGAGGGCTTAAGGAAGGTCACACTGTACACACTTGTGTTGTACCGGAAACCATGTCCATCCATCTGCAGGTTCCATCCTGTCTGTTTCCCAACAGGACCCCATGAGTGAGAGCCTGAAGACCTGCTACAGATACCTGGAGGAAACTGGCAGGAGCTATGCAGCTGTCATCCAGGCCCTGGAAGGGGAGCTACAGTGAGTGTATTGTCTGTTTTTAACCCATCAATAGTTGGAATATGTTGTTGAATATTATTCAGAGAATACAGATGTACCGCTACCCACAAAGGAGCCACTGATAAAGATGGGTCCTCTGTTGCAGGCCTCGAGCCTCAGACCCTCTGACATACCCAGCTATAATGCTATTTTAATGACTTCCCTACCTGGCCACTTCTGACATTTCTCTCCTTTTTTTTTATTTGCTAGAAAATTTACTTAGAACCCCCAAACATTATATATATATATATATATATATATATATATATATTTTTTTTTTTTTTTTTGCAGAGGCCCTAGAGAATAAAATGGTGGGTTTTGTTTTTTGTCTTATGGTTTTTAAAATCTTTTGGTAAAAATACTCTTCAATTAATTTAAGTGCACTCCGGACACAATATAATACTCATTTTTTATAAAATGTTGTCAGATGTATTTACAGCGAGGCAAACAAGGCATTTATCTTGGATTGCATTTTTCGGATGGGGGGGGTGGCGCCGCTCCCCCGGAATAAGGGACTCATGAGGCAGGTGACAGAAGATGGGGACCAGGTGAGGCACTGCCTGAGCTCCGCCATGGGATCTAAGAGAGGCTTTGGGCTTCTGCAGGGTGTAGGTAGAGGCCGACTCTCATTCCTGCACAAGGGCGATGGCTGGCTGCTTTCATTCCGGGGAGGTGCAGATGAATGCTGGAAGAACACATCTCTGTCTGAGGTTCTGGGGATGGCCAGTCTCTCTCTCCCCTTCTTTTTTTTTTTTTTGGGTTGTTGCCAAGGGCAGCACAAAAACAAAATACACCACTGGATGTTACACCGAATAAATAGATACCTAACGTGTCACGCTTTAAAATTGCATATGCCCATAGAACAAGCATTAACTTTTGCAGCAATATGAGCTACAGCAGCTTTTCTACTGGTTCATACTACACAGGCCCGCCTTCACTCACCATGTACATCAATGAGCCTTGGCCACCCATGACCCTGTCACCAATGTGCCAGCTTTCCTTCCTTGGACCACTTTTCGTAGGTCCTAACCACTGCTGACTGGGAACATCACACAAGAGCTGCAGGCTTGGCAATGCTCTGACCCAGTCATCTAGCCTCAACTTCAGGGACATGTTCACTTACTGCCTAATTCCATCCACTTTTAGAAGCCATTTTAATGAGATAATGAATGTTTTATACACTAAAACTGTCAATTGTCATAATGTTAGGGCTGTATATGGGTCTTCTCTCTGTACTCCTTAGGCATGCAGCCTGTATTTTCTACCTGGTTTTGCGAGCTGTGGACACAGTGGAGGACGACATGACCATCAGTCTGGAGACCAAGATATCCATTTTGAAAAACTTTCACAACTTCCTGTACCAGCCTGACTGGAGGTTCATGGATGGCAAGCAAAAGGATTGCATAGTGCTCAAAGATTTCCCAACAGTGAGTTAAGTTAGGGACTGTTTTTGTGAACTTTTACCATGCAGCCATTGAATTATTTTTATTTTCAAAGCATCATCATTGGACCATTTAGTACATCGATATAGTATAGTAAATGAACATTTGTCTCTTTGATGTGAAGTACCCCCGTACATTGGTGATCAGTGTAGGGCTCCCTTATGTAGTTGATTAGTAGCAAAGTGCATCCGTACATTGGTAGTTAGTGGTAAAGTGCCCCATTAACATTGGTAGTTGGTTGTGAAATGCCTCCTTACATTGGTGGTCAATGTAGGCCAGCTTACATTGGTTAGTTTTAAAGTGACCCTTTACATTGGTAGTTGGTGTAGCGTTTCCCTACTTTTTCGGTTTGTGGAGCAGTGCCCCATTATATTGGTGGTCAGTGGTGAAGGGTCTCATTACATTGGTGGTTAGTAGTGAAGTGTCCCCTTACATGGTGGTTAGTGAAGAAGGATCCCCTTACATTGGTAGTCAGTGTAGTGCTCCCTTACCTTGGTGGTCCATGTAGGGCCTTTTATATTGGCGGTTAGTGAAGTACCCCCATACTTTCATAGCTAGAGGAGACGTGCCCCTTTTTTAGATTGTATATCGACCCCTTACATTGATGGTCAGTGGATTACTACAAAGCAGTTAGTCTGTAAATTATTATTAATCTAGGTACAACATACTAAAAACCCTTTATTGTAAGAGCAACCTTTCTTTGTGTCCAACCTTCTATAGGCAGATCACATACACCATGGTCATAATGTGTTGCCCAGTGAGCAAATATTTTTGACAAGTACAAACAAACCTCATTTTCTAATGGAATTTTATTATTTTGTTCTCTTTCAATTCTGAGATCTCTCAAGAGTTTAGAAACTTAGCTGTGGTCTACCAGGAGGTGATTGCCAATGCTGTTTGTGAGCAAGCGCTGGGGATGGTGGAGTACCTAAAGAAGCAAGTAGAGACAATACAAGACTGGGACAAGGTGAGAAATAGGATCGCTTGTAAAGAGGTCATTCACAATATTTACTTAATACTTCCAAACACCATTTGTTGACCAGATTGCTATAGTGGAACTTTTTCTGGTTATGCCTCTTCCACCATAGTTGTTTACCTCCCTGCTAGAAATGTTTTTTTTTTTTTTTATGGAGCCATGCATGCACAGCTCAGTGTACAATCATTATCTTACAGATGCCAGAGTTGGCATGTATGGGAGCCACGTCTCTCCTGCCCGGGCAGTTAAATACAAAGATTACAAGTAACAACAGAAGTGGAGTGATCAGGGGAAGGACAGACATGGCTTCATTGGATGGATGTGTGTGTATGTGGCACAGGGCACCAGTGGCAGACCTGCCAATTCTGGTGTTCAATGGCAAATGCCAATCGAGCTCTATGCGGCCAGGCAGTGAGCACAGAGCCCACTAGAGGATGTTTGTCCCTCAGGCCACCCTCATGAAGTCTGTTTCTGATTGTGGAGGTCCACAATTTTGTCTCTGGTGTCTTTTGACAGCTCTTTGGTCTTGCCCATGGTAGTAGTTGGCATCTGACTGACTATGGGGTGGACAGGTGTCTTTAAAGAGCTCAGACAGGTGCTACTAAGTTAGATTAATGAGTGGAGTAGAGGTGGACTTTTTAAAGGCACAGTAACAGGTCTTTGAGAGCCAGAATTCTTGCTGTTTCTTAGGTGTTCAAATGCTTATGTTCAGCAGTGCAAGACAAATAAATTCTTTAAAAATCATACAATGTGATTTCCTGAATTTTTTTTTTAATTCTGTCTCTCGGAGTGGGAATGCACCTACAATGTGAATTTCAGACCCCTCCATGATTTCTAAGTGGGAGAACTTGCAAAATCGCAGGGTGTTCAAATACTTCTGTTCCTCACTGTATAAGCCTCTGTGCTACAGACATCCAGCGGGTACCCAAACACCGCTACTCAGGTAAATCCAAATCCAAAGGATGGAGAATAGATCTTCTTGCTATTACTTTAATTTAAAAAACATGGGAGGGCAGGATTTTGGCCAGTTTTCAACATACTAATGTCTTAAGTAGTAATTATTGTTTAATATACTGTGTATGCATACTGTATGTACAGTACCTGTATAAACCAACTTAATGTAGTGACCCTGATGCAGCCTACAATATTATCCACTGTGATAGTGAAAATGCCTGTGTTATTCTACAAATCAATCCCTGAGCTAACCCCCACCTCCTGTTATTCATCTGTCATTGCATGAACAATCTCCATTTTTACAGGCTTACCTCCATTCCCTTGTTTTTTTGTTTGTGTTTATTTTTGTATTTTTTTGTTTATGATGGCAGCTGTGTAGGAAGTATAAATGACTGCGTAGACCATTGGGCATTAGAGAGACTCAGTGATCAGCACTCAGTAACACACCTGATTCAACATGTCTTCTCTCTTCCTCTGTGATGAGAGGTGTAGCTGTTACTGAGCTTTGCCAGCATAGAGCACTGGTGTCCGAGGGCAGGGACCAGCATGTTTCACTGAGATAATGGTATATTAAAGTATTTTCATGACCTGTTTGGTACATGCAAGAAGGTTGAAGCCTGCTTAAGTGAATTAGATACTGGCCCAGGCTGGATGGGGTAAGAATTAGCTCTTGGTCACCAGTTTGCTGGCTTTTTGGGTTTCAGCCAGCCCATCTGTGGTATAAACTGGGGGGGAAGGCTGAGACCCTGGAGGCTGCTGGTGTCCCTGCTGGAGCCACTGTGAGCCGGTCAGTTGGAGGCTAAGATCTGTGCTGCTGCTGATCGCAACTACCAGAGAAGATTAACTATACTGAAACCCCTGGGATGCCACCAGACATGGACCATGTCTCCGATAATTGACTCGCCACCACACACGGACTCTAATTCAACTACAAGGAATGCTTGGACCTACTCATAGTTGGTCAGGAATGTAATGAACTGTTCGTAATTTATCCTGTATCATGTTTGCACTGCAAAATAAAGACTGTTAACTTTTTTTTTTTTTTTAGCCTGGTCTGAAGTTATTTCTAAAGGGGTGCATAATGGGGATGGCTCTGTAATAGCATTAAGGGGTATGTTGTATACAATACTAAAGTGAAAGTAAGCTGCATTTTAATGAAGAACAAGGTCATTGCTAGTGACAATCGAGTCAGAGTCACAGGCAATCAGTCAAGGTGAGGTACCTGAGGGAGGTGGGGTATTGTCTGGTAGTGAGGTGACACTGGTTGGGCCTCCAGCAGTCTGTCTTCCATAGCAAGACCAGTGTTAAGCAGATCCCTAACCTGTCTAATAGGTATGGAACAAAAGTTAACACAGGACATGTATGGATCCTGTGCTTTGTGGGGTTTCATTCCGTTACTGGGAGTGAGGTAGCAGAGGTAAGCTGGCTGGTGGAGTGGCGTAGTGCAGCCTGCCAACCTGAATAGCTCTTTGTATAAAGCAATATTTCTCTTTACCACCAAGTTGGGAGACTGTGCTAATGTCAGACTGTAAACATTACTGCGGTTCCCATCTAGTCCCAGGCACTGATGAGTGCGCCATCAGGCAGAGGTACTCCTAGTGTATAGGCACTGTAGGCCCCACCCAGAAAATGTCAGTCAGTAATACACACAAGCAACAAGCCACCCTACATACAATACTAAAGAAAAAAGTCAGACTTCAAATGGGCTTTTTGTAGACAATAAAGGCTCTGGCAGCTAAAACATACAAAAAAAAAAAAATAAAATCTGACCTGGCATAGAGCTTCCATCTAAAGGCTGCAAGTGGTAATTATGAAAATGTTCATACTTGATATGATCAATACTAAACACAATATAGGAATAAAATACATAATCTGTTTAGTCTAAGGTTTTTTCTATTTTTTTTTTTTTCCCCCACAGTACTGTTACTATGCATCTAGTCCATTGATATGTGGCCTATCAGTAATGTTCTCTGTCTCAGGGTTGGAGAACTCCATAGTAGGAGAAGACACGAGGGTCTCCATCTCTGTAAGTCTGTTCATGCAGAAGATGAACATTATCCGTGATTTCCTGGAAGACCAACTCAACAACCAAGAGTTCTGGCCAAAAGAGGTGAGTACAGTTTTCTGTCCAATGCCATCAGTCTGTAGCTAAAATTTCAGTTTTGGGTGGGATGATTATTTAAATTTAAACAAGTGGCCATGATATGGTATTTTAATACACTGCTCAAAAAAATTAAAGGAACACTTTAAAAACACATCAGATCTCAATAGGGAAAAATATCATGCTGGATATCTATACTGATATGGACTGGGTAATGTTCTAGGAACATAAAGATGCCCCATTGTTTGATGGAAATTAAAAGGATCAACCTACAGAGGACTGAATTCAAAGACACCCCGAAAATCAAAGTGAAAAAATGATGCAGCAGGCTAGTCCATTTTGCTGAAATTTCATTGCAGCAACTCAGAATGGAATTCAGTAGTTTGTATGGCCCCCACGTGCTTGTATGCACGCCTGACAGTGTCGGGGCATGCTCCTAATGTGACGACGGATGGTGTCCTGGGGTATTTCCTCCCAGATCTGGACCAGGGCATCACTGAGCTCCTGGACAGTCTGAGGTGCAACCTGGCAGTGTTGGATGGACCAAAACATGATATCCCAGAGGTGTTCTATTGGATTTAGGTCAGGTGAGTGTGGGGACCATTCAGTGGTATCAATAACTTTCATCCTCCAAGAACTGCCTGCATACTCTCGCCACATGAGGCTGGGCATTGTTGTGCACCAGGAGGAACCCAGGACTCACTGCACCAGCGTAGGGTCTGACAATGGGTCCAAGGATTTCATCCCAATACCTAATGGCAGTCAGGGTGCCATTATCTAGCCTGTAAAGGTCTGTGCATCCATGGATATGCCTCCCCAGACCATCACTGACCCACTACCAAAACGGTCATGCTGAACGATGTTACAGACAGCATTACATTCTCCACGGCTTCTCCAGACCCTTTCACGGTGGTCACATGTGCTCAGGGTGAACCTGCTCCCATCTGTGAAAATCACAGGGTGCCAGTAGGTTTACTAATTCTGGTGTTCAATGGCAAATGCCAATCGAGCTTTATGGTGCCAGGCAGTGAGCACAGGGCCCAGCAGAGGACGTCAGGTCCTCAGGCCACCCTCGCGAAGTCTGTTTATGATTGGTCAGAGACATTCACACCAGTGGCCTGCTGGATGTCACTTTGTAGGGCTCTGGCAGTGCTCATCCTGTTCCTCCTTGCACAAAGGCGCAGATGCCAGTCCTGCTGATGGGATAAGTACCTTCTACGGCCCTGTCCAGCTTTCCTAGAGTAACTGACTGTCTCCTGGAATCTCCTCCATGCACTTGAGACTGTGCTGGGAGGCACAGCAAACATTCTGGCAATAGCACATATTGATCTGCCATCCTGGAGGAGTCGGACTGCCTGTAGGGCAACCTCTGTAGGGTCCAGGTATCGCCTCATGCTACCAGTAGTGACACTGACCCTAGCCAAATGCAAAACTTGTGAAAAACAGTCAGAAAAGATGAGTACGGAACAAAATGTCAGTGGCCTCCACGTGTAAACCATTCCTGTTTTGTGGTTTGTTTCATTGTTGCCTATCCAGTGCACCTGTTGTTAATTTTATTAACACCAAAGCAGCTGAAACTGATCAACGACCCCCTCTGCTACTTCACTGACCAGATCAATATCCCAGGAGTTTAATTGGCTTGATGCTATACTCTGATTAAAAAGTGTTCCTTTCATTTTTTTCAACAAGCTGTAAAAGTGCTTTATTTAAACCCTTGCTGACCTCTTTAGCTGTAAGCACTGTGGAGAAATTCGTCTGCAGAGTTTACAACAGAGACACTGAAAAACTGCTATCTTATTCTTGCTTTCCTTGGCAGCCTGCCAGCATTCTAATCAGTCACAGCAGTAACAAACGCAGTCCACCTTCATCAGGCTTAGAGGCAAAGGAAAAAAGAAGCTATATGTTAAACTTGGCTGCATTAAATATGAATATTTTGCATAAAGCAAATTTGGGTAATGCACGTCAGGTCAAGTGAATTCTCTTTTATGAAAATTCTCATTTTAAACTTGTGTTCCTAGGTACTCTGATGTGAAGGGGAGTCTAATGTGATGAGAGGACCTCTGATGTAACGGGGGGCTTCTGGCATGAAAGGGGAACTAATGTAATGGGAGGAGCTTTGATGTGAGGCATTAAGTTCTGATATGAAATTCCCAGACTCAGGTTTCCCATTGATCAATAAGATTTATATTTTTGAAATGTTAAATTGGAGTGCTTCAAGATTTGTGCACAATTTTAGGGATCGGTTGCACCATATTGGTTCCTGCATGGTGAGTTTTTGTGGCAGTTCTTTCATTTAATTAGGCTGCCAAACACTCAAAGTATGGCAAATGCAATTTGTAAAATCGTACTGCAGTACCATGTGTTTTGGTGGCTGTGAACGCACCCAGATTTGTGAGATGTGATGGAGTGCTATCAAGAATTAATGGCACCCACCCGTATCTACAGATGGCAGCTTGTTTCTGTAAAATAACACAAGGGCACAGCCACATAATGTAAATTTGTTGCTAATCTGCACAAGATTGCAATTAAAGTATTACTAAACCCAGGACCCTGCATTCACTATATCTGGTCTCCCCGGACCCTGCATTCACTATAACCGGTCTCCTCGGACCCTGCATTCGCTATATCCGGTCTCCCCGGACCCTGCATTCGCTATATCCGGTCTCCCCGGACCCTGCATTCCCTATATCTGGTCTCCCAGGATCCTGCATTCACTATATCTGGTCTCCCCGGACCCTGCATTCACTATATCTGGTCTCCCTGAACCCTGCATTCACTATATCTGGTCTCCCCGGACCCTGCATTCGCTGTATCCGGTCTCCCCGGACCCTGCATTCGCTATATCCGGTCTCTCCGGACCCTGCATTCGCTATACCCGGTCTCCCCAGGCCCTGCATTCGCTATATCCGGTCTCCCCGGACCCTGCATTCGCTATATCCGGTCTTCCCGGACCCTGCATTCACTATATCCGGTTTTCCCGGACCCTGCATTCACTATATCCGGTCTTCCCGGACCCTGCATTCGCTATATCCGGTCTCCCCGGGCCCTGCATTCGCTATATGCGGTCTCCCCGGACCCTGCATTCGCTATATCCGGTCTCCCCGGACCCTGCATTCGCTATATCCGGTCTCCCCGGACCCTGCATTCGCTATATCCGGTCTCCCCAGGCCCTGCATTCGCTATATCCGGTCTCCCCGGACCCTGCATTCGCTATCCCCGGACCCTGCATTCGCTATACTCCGGTCTCCCCGTCTCCCCGGACCCTACATTCGCTATATCCGGTCTTCCCGGACCCTGCATTCACTATATCCGGTTTTCCCGGACCCTGCATTCACTATATCCGGTCTTCCCGGACCCTGCATTCACTATATCCGGTCTCCCCGGACCCTGCATTCACTATACCCGGTCTCCCCGGACCCTGCATTCACTATATCCGGTCTTCCCGGACCCTGCATTCGCTATATCCGGTCTCCCCGGACCCTGCATTCGCTATATCCGGTCTCCTCGGACCCTGCATTCGCTATATCCGGTCTCCTCGGACCCTGCATTCGCTATATCCGGTCTCCCCGGACCCTGCATTCGCTATATCCGGTCTCCCCGGACCCTGCATTCGCTATATCCGGTCTCCCCAGACCCTGCATTCGCTATATCCGGTCTCCCCAGGCCCTGCATTCGCTATATCCGGTCTCCCCGGACCCTGCATTCACTATATCCGGTCTCCCCGGACCCTGCATTCACTATATCCGGTCTTCCCGGACCCTGCATTCACTATATCCGGTTTTCCCGGACCCTGCATTCACTATATCTGGTCTCCCCGGACCCTGCATTCACTATATCTGGTCTCCCCGGACCCTGCATTCACTATATCTGGTCTCCCACAGTACACACAACATGGAAATGCAATTATTTTTGTAAATATAAACTGCTAAATACCTTTTCTTGTCAGCAGTTAGAGCAGTCTTGTGACTTCAGCAGAGCACTGCTAAAGCTTGTAGGAGGAGTTTTTTCTTTCTACCCTAGAAGGATGCAAACCCCCTGACCTCTGTCTGGACAGTGCTGATTGGCCCTGTGCTGATCACATGCATTCTCCCAAGAAAACAAAAAGCTATCTAGCAATACACACTAACCTAGGCATGTGCTTATGACTACGATTCAGTCTGTCTTATCAGGAGATAAGACATGGACATTTGAACAAGAGGAGGGGCAGAGAAGACAGGATCAAACTTCCTTTTTACACAATGCAGAGGATTAACCCCTTAGGTTCCACAGTGAGTATAACAAGCATGCTTCACTGCATATACAGACTGATTTTACTGTTGTGGGTTTAGTAACACTTTTACGCATACAAGCACTGGTACTCCAATGCAATGGTTTCTCTTTTTTTGAAGTTTTAAGTGGAGTACACACAATGAGAAAATTGGATGAAAAATACCACTTATGGAGCAATTTTCCAATAATCTGATTGTTAGTACACAGGTTTCTAGAGCCGATCACGGCAGTTCAAGCAAAATTGTGCAAACATTTTCCTCGTACGATACCAGAATGAATGACTTTCATTTAATCAGTACAGTATTTGCTGAAAAAAAACAAACCAAGTGACCAAGACTGGCATGCTCTGAAGCGAAAGAAATCAATACGTCACTTCCAAAGTTGCATTCTGTTGTGCGAGAATTCTCGGAACTTCAGTAACCTCTTCATTTTTGAGACTAGCATGCGGGAAAACTCAGATGATCATTCGTCTTATATTTTTCATTGTGTGTGGGGCTTTAGTCATAGTAAGTGCCTTGTTCAGAACATGCTTCCAGTAGCGTTGCTATGGGGGTGCAGGGTATGTGGACTGCATCTGGGTGACACCCACCAGAGGGGTGACACCTGTCAGCCAGGGCAACACTAACACCACCCCAGTGTCTGATCCTCATCTCTCACCAGCTGTGTATTATTATTATTATACAGGATTTATATTATTATTATTATTCAGGATTTATATAGCGCAAACAGTTTGCTCAGAGCTTTACAATATAAAGGGAGACAATACAGCAACAATACAGTTCAATACAAGAGGGATAGGAGGGCCCTGCTCCTTGAAGCTTACAATCTAGGTCAGGGGCAGACTGACAACTCATGGGGCCCCAGGCAATAGGGGATCATGGGGCCCCTTTGTCCTTGCCCAAACTCAAAAAAGCCTATGAAAAAGGTACCAGGGGCATCTCATGGGGCCCCCTACTGACCCCACGCCCTCGGGCACCGCCCGAGTTCCCAAATGGTCAGTCCGCCCCTGGGACCTATACTAGTGGGGGTGGATTTGAAATCCCCCCCCCCCCCCAAGAACACAAGCCCTCTCCCCTCCCAAAGCACCCCCAGCACATATTTTACCTCCCTACTAGGCACCAGTGGAGAGAAGGGTGTCTGTACTGAGGGAGGGAGAGGGGTCTGTACTCAGGAAGGGGGAGGGGGGGTCTGCACTTAGTGGAAGGGGGTTTGTACTGAGGAAGGGGGTATATACTTAGTGGAGGGGGGTCTGTACTTAGTATATAGACCCCTCCTTCAGTGCATACCCCCCCATCTCCACTAAGTGGAGAGGGGGGGGTCTGTACTGAGGTAGGGGGTCTATACTTAGTGGGGGGGGGGGTCTGTAATGAGGGAGAGGGATCTGTACTGAGGAGGCACTATACTTTGGGGGGGGTGACACCATGTTTTACCACACCTGAGTGACACCAACCCTAGTGATGCCACTGCATGCTTCAGAGAAATTGCACCATTCACTTTTCATGTTACTTAATTTGATCGGGGTATAGATGTGTGACAGACTCCCTTCCCTTTCCATGGTCAATCACCTTTGGAGGTGGTACCGTCAGGTATGAGGAAAGTTCTTGCTGCTGAAGTGGTCATGGATTATAGAGACAAGCTGCTTTTGATGGCTTACTTGGAGTTAGTTTTTTTCTACACCAACACATCATCCTAATCACAACGCGCCCAAACACAACATGAATGTCACTAGAGGAGTCCATCTAAAGATCTAGTTGGTCCCTCGTTGGCTCTATAGGCCAGTACATACCGTTTTCTGTATCCACATGCAGCTTATAGTTTGTACCATCAGAAGGAAGAGCTCGCCTAGGATGCTAGGCTAATATTTTGAATCTTTTGAGAGGTGAACCCCTCTGATCCCTCTGAAATGAGTAATGATCCCAGTTTGGTGCTCAGCAATTAGAGAGCCTAGGAGGAATCTGTAGATGGTTAGCACAGTAGATCAGTGGTTAGCATTAGTGATGGGCTGAACACACCCCTGTTCGGTTTGTATTCGAACCTACCGAAAGGAAAAAAAAAGTGTAGTAAGAAATGACAGGAGACAGTCTTTGAAAAGTCTTTTTATTTAAAGCAAAAATTTTAAAAAGTCCCCCGAATTAGATCCAATGTCAATCATAATGCCCACCGCCACTGCCGACCCCAAAAAAAAAAAAAAACATCCCGGCTGTATGACACATGCGCCACGATGACGTGATTCTTAAATACTGTGAGTAACCCTGCCCCTTTGTGACATCATCATGCGCTGTGACTGGCCAAAGCATTGCACCTGACCTGTGGTCAAAGCCCATCACTACTTAGCATCTCTACCTTGCAGCACTGGGGTCCTCAATTTGAATCCCAACCATGTTTGCTCAAAGTACTCCGGTTTCCACCCACATTCCAAAGACATGCTGGTAGGTTAAGGTAGAACTAAAGGCAAAACCTTTTTTTTTTTTTTTTTTTCTTCATTTTGGAAAGAGTAAGGGAGGGTTATAATCCCTGTGTTTTATTTTTGTTTGTTTTTGCCTCCCATTGGGGAGATTTCCCTTCCCTCCACTTCCTGTCTCATAGCCAAAACAGGAAGTAACAAGATATCCTTCCAAAGGGAGGGAATCCCGGGTTGTTACCAGGGCCATCAGAACTATTGAACCCATTGGAAGATTTCCCCTATTTTCCTGTTCTGGGGACAACCCACAATTTGGAATTTTCTTTCACTTTCAATGCCAACTGTAAACAGGATAAATAGAGGGTGAATCTCCCTAATTGGGACACAGACAGCAATAAAAACCTGACAGGCATTCTAATCCCTCTCTAATCTATCCAAAACTAAGGTTTTTGCCTTTAGTTACACTATAAAATAAATGACTACTATCTAAATTGGTGCTAGTATGTCTATGTATGCATGTGAGATAAGAACCTTGAATTGTAAGCTCCTTGATGGCAGGAACCGTTGTGAATGCACCATATTTGTGTAGCACCCTCTTAGTTAGGTTTAGGATGCTAGGCAAATTTAGTTTAGCTCCTTTGTAGCCAGGGGAGTAGTGATTGATTACTCCAGTCTGCTTAATGTTTCATAGGCTGCTGGTTTGATTATTCTCTCCTGTATTCTAGAGGGTTCTAGAATCAGTGGGAGGAAGGATAGAAGGGCAGCTTGAATATTTATTGGTGATTCAGCCAATTCCTGGGGAGTTGTCCAGTAGGTGGCTGGGGAGTCATAAATTGTCTGAGACCTGGAGCAGTGTGTATGGGTCCCAGGTCAAGAGGAGTCCCCTGTCTAGGGGCTGTGCCCTCTTAGGGCAGTCTGCTAGAGACTCTGCTTGATGGTCACCGAAGTCCCAGCTGTAGTCTAAACTGTGGGTGCCTATTACCAATGTCGGGTCTGGGATTTTCTTATGGTCTGGAGAGCTCACTGAAGAATGGTCTGAAGAGCTCATGAAGAATGGTCTGGAGTACTCAGAAGTTGGGGGGAAGAGTGTCCAGCTTTCCCGTGGTCCCCACAGAAGAGTGCCTGGTAGATATCAGGAGGCAACTGACCTAAATTCTGTGCCCTAGTGACTGTGTGCAATTCTCCATTCTACAATAACAAGTTCTAGGCATTTCTCAGCTAGTAATGAATCTTGTGGGAGCTCTGTTGCCAGAACAGGGTGAAGAGAAGTGTCCTAGGTGATTTCAGTTTTTTTTGGGGTGGTGTCCAATGCTTTCCCTCACCCCAACAAGTTTAAATCCACAATAAAAGCATAAGACACTCTCTAGGCTGTTAAGTCATTAAGGAAAAAAGAAATGTTGTGTGCCTGGCTGTGCATGCACTAAAATTTGGGGGGAAAGGCTCAGCTTATCTGCAGCTCCCTAGGGGGTGCGCTAGATTTGTAAAGCACAATACATTGGGAATGTGCATGTATTTCATGGGTATCTTTACCTGTTGCAGCCTATAATAGACGTGACCATTGCCCATCTCCTAGATTTAGTGCTGCCAAGTCTGAGGAAGGCATACCATCATGAAGCTTGCTCTGCCCCAGGACTAGCACCAGCTCCAGAAGTTGGTCCTTTAACACCGAATAGATTACTTAGCTAACAGGTTCTTTTTAAACCCATCTGTGCTTTCAGGTATGCCATGACCCTCTAATCCTAAACTGGGTACTGCCAGTTGAAATTTTTCAAAGAGAAAATGGTATTACCCAGAATTCTTATTAAATGGCTTGGGAAGGAAAAATTGACCATTGCCTTTATTTCCAGTGCTGTCCTCCTGATATCAAACCTTTTCCACCACATTTTGGTCTTCGTAAGTCAAACTATGATCAGCAGCTGAAGTCTATCCCTCTGCCTTTACCAGGTGTGGAGTAAATATGGGAAGAAGTTGTCTGATTTTACCAAGCCGGAAAATACTGTGCCAGCCGTGCAGTGTCTGAATGAGCTCATCACTAATTCCCTGCAACATGTGCCTGACATCTTTCTCTACCTGTCCCGACTGCAAAACCAGAGAGTGTTCAAATTCTGTGCAGTCCCGCTGGTAAGTGCACCAACTACTACGACCATATTACAGTAAATGGTAGTGTTAAGTGGTTTTGTAATGAATAAGAACAGATAATCTTTCAAGTCATGGATGATCTCCCAAGTCATGGATGATGATTGCTGCACAACTGCAGCATTTAAAAAAAAAAAAAATTCCCTACAAAAGTTAAAATAAGAATGCAGCTCCCATTGCAATGCTCACCCAATCTCCAGTGCTGTCCCATGCAGACTCTGCTCTGCCATCCAATGCTGGTCCCCTTCTGGGTTGGATAATGCCCAGCATCATTCAATTCATTTCCTGTGACCCAAAGGCATGAAGGACCGGCCCGGCGGTGGACTGAGCTCACAGGGTAATGCTACAGAGAACTGTGTCCAGGTCATGTTCTTAGCAGCATCCCATAGTTCTTTCCCATCCCTACAGAAAGAGCCTTGCCATCATGTTATCCAACCAAAGAATAAGGAGATGAACATACAGTTAGGTCCATATATATTTGGACACAGGCACAATTTTAGTTTTATTTATATTTTAGATATTTTATTATAACACATTCAAGCTATAGTTATATAATGGATATGGGCTGAAAGTGCACACTCTCAGGTTTAATTTGAGGGTATGTCCATCCAAATTGTAGGAAGGGTTTAGGAATTACAGCTCTTAAGCGTAGTCATCCCCCCTCATAAAAGTGGTTCCTTCGTTGTCCAATCAGTAGGCTGGGGATGTGTTCTTGACCACCCTGTTCTGCTTAACAGCTGTGAAGGTCAAGAACCTGGATCCTGTCTGTCCGTACCTAGACCACAAAACTGGTCAGTTGTGTTTGGTTTGACCATAACTGTCTACCATGTATGTGTTTTTAGATGATGGCAATCGCTACATTGGCCACATGCTACAACAACCAGCAAGTGTTTAAAAGAAAAGTGAAGATCCGAAAGGGTCAGACTGTGACTCTGATGATGAACACTACAACCATGCAGGCTGTAAAAGCCATCACATGTCAGTATATGGAGGAGGTATGGATGTCTTCTATTTTTTAAACCCTTAAGAATGATTATGGTTGTCTGCTTTAATGCAGATATTAAAAAGTTTGTTTTAGCATGACTCAAATTTACCCCCAAACCTTCCTTTGCCACCCTAGGACATGTCCCAGCAATTTTTTTTCTTGTGCATGTAGTGAGAAACTGCTTTTATTATGCCCTGTGTAATCCCCACCAGGCCTAAAACATTCTTGCTGGGAGCTCAATTCTTATTGACATAGGAATGCCTCCCAGAACTACATCATCCAAGAGCCCTATCTCTACACACAGTGAGTGGGAAGGCTTTTGGGAGTCAAGGCAGCAGCATTGTTTTGCTGGGAAAGTATTCAATGTCTGCACATGAATAGAAGCAAAGACGAGGTGAAGCTCTTGTTCAGCAGGCAGGGATGACAACACTGACTGGGATTTGAGTGTAGCAGAAGGACTGTTGTCAGCCCAAATAGGAAGTTAGGAGTGCACTGGTATTTTTAGTACTTGCAGCTTTTGTAAAGGGTTACAACATGGGGCAGTGTCCAGAAGTACTGAATATGGTTTTGTTTTTTTTTTTTTTCATTGTGCCTTAACGTACACTTTAGGACCGATTCACACCAGAATGCAGTGCAATGTACACATTGTCAGGGGATGCAGATCATTGTCTAGCAGGGTATTAGCCCAGTGAGAGCTGGAGAGCTGTGCCGGCTAGTTTGGAGACACAAACTTTCAATTGTGTGGCATTTCTTTAGTAATTTATTACTAGTTTGATATTATTTAATAATGTAATATCTTTGGTCATTCTGCAGATATACCGAAAGATTCCTTCAACAGACCCATCATCTGAACAAACTCAAAACATCCTGGCTACCATTAGAAAACTAAGTATGCCCAATGGTGCTACAGGTGACCCTTAGCTGGCAGTACCTGCGTAATATGCAGGACAGGTCCACATGGGCCAGTGACTTGGGACAATCCAACCATCTTTGTTCAATTCTTCATGGTAATCTCTTGAGAAGATCCAGAGGATTTTGAGACTTGAACCCTTCTGCGGCTGAGATCCTAGCACTTCAAAAATAAGTTCACTTTTTAAAAAACAATAAATGTACATTTTTTTGCGGGTAACAAAAGTGCTTTTGTCTTAGGGGTCTGCAGAGCATTGCACCTGTGATCATGAGACCACAGGTGCAATGTCAGGCACCTGCAGACTCTCTGTACACTGTCTGCCAGTACCTCCTATAAGGGCAGGCAGTTACTCGAGAGCAGGAAGAATCCATGAACTTTTGAGTGCTCACCACAGTGGCAGGTAGGACTTGTGGTTCATTCACAGAACTCTATGAACAATGCAACTGTGACGGTGGAGCCCCACACAGCCACGCTGTTTTTGAATTGTGACAGCAGGTGCAGGGAGAGGATCTCCTGCCCGCTGTCACAGGGTAGATCAGGAAGGGTTCCCTGTCTGCTGTTATTAGGCGGATCAGGGGGTATGGGGGGGTTACATGTTACCAGAGGCATCCCTAGGGTTGGTGCCACCCGGTGCAATAACACTTGGTGACACCCCCTCAGACGATCCCCGCAGAATAAATTGGATCTGCGGATTGAGCATAATGGATCGGACTCCGATCCATTAAGCTAAATCCGCAGATCAGATCCATCCTGCGAGGATCGTCGGCTTTCTTTACAACTTACCTTTTCTTGGAGCGGGTCCGGGTGTAGTGGCAAGATGTGTCTCCCCTGAAGCAACTGCGCATGTCCCGGTTTCAGGCACAAGCAATCGATGATAGCGGGGGGGGGGGGGGGGACATCTACATGGGAGATACATCTTGTCGTTACACTGGTGTCACCCCATATAGGTTGCATGCCGACGATCCCCGCAGGATCGTCGGCATGCAACCTATACAGGGTGATAACGGACCCACTCCAAGAAAAGGTAAGTTGTAAAGAAAGCCGACGATTCCTGCAGGATGGATCCGATCCATCCTGCGGGGATCGTCAGCTTGCTTTACAACTTACCTTTTTGTGGAGCGGGTCCAGTGTCAACCCCGTGTGGTCGGTGTCACCCAACTTATCTTTTTGTGGAGCAGGTCCGGTGTCACCCCGTGTGGACCACACCTGCCTCGGGACGCCACTGCATATTACACCTCTGAATATGGGTGTAAAATTTAACCAAAGGTGAACCTGTTCTTTAAATAGGGCGTAATGTGTTGCTAAGGACTGAAAACCTTCACTCCCCTAGACCCCCCTCCCTGCTTTTGTGACAGGCAGGGGTTCATCTTCCCCCACAGCTGCTGGCACATTTTATATTGGTGGTGGGATCCCACCTGCACGGCCATGTCATTCATGCAGAGATTTGTGAATGAATAAAGTACAAGTCCCATCTTCCACCGTGGCAGCCGGCTTGTAGTTCTCAATGGACTGAGGGTCCATGAAATCTATGAGCTTTCTAACTGAAAGAAGACTGGAGGATGTGTTTGCAGGAGCCTGACTTTGCACCCAGGATCCACTGATCGCAGGTGCAATACTTTGCAAGCTTCTGTACTTAAAAAAATTCACTTTTTTTTTTTTTTAACCTGGTAAAATATTTGCATTTTAGCTCTTTTTTTACTTGGAATTTAAAGCAAATCTATATTGCCTAGCACAAATAAATCCAAACTAAAATGAGTCCCTGGCCAACTAAAAAGTACACCTGTCTTTATCCATTCACTTTCATGCCCACCTTTATGAACACCTCCCTGTCGCTCTGTTCAGCTACCTGGAGCAGGAGAAGCAGTGACATGACATTTACACACCTATGGACTTTCTACATGTGAGCATCCTGGTGAATTGCACACACTATCACAATGATTTAAGCTGGGCATACTCTAGAATTTCATTTGACTTTTTTTTCATTCTAAGGTGGTTTGTTCATTTTTCTAAACATTAGTGGAGTGCCAAACCAACATTCATTTTTAACCACAGTGACAAGAAAATTCAAAGGGGCAGAATGGAAAATGTTTCTCGAATGTACTAATTTTGAACACTGAAATGTGAATTTCAATGAAAGTTCATTTATTCCAAAAATTGAATGTAAAAAGCATTGTTTTTATTAAAAACATAACTTTGAAATACTTTCAGACAACATTTGAATGTTCTCATTTGAAATTCTACTACTGTACATGTAGCTTTAGTCATCTGCTCTGCTATACCTGGAATATATTTAAAAAAAAAAAAAAAAAAAAAAAGGTACAGTGCCTTGAAAAAATATTCATCCCCCTTGAAATTTTCCACATTGTCATGTTACAACCAAAAACATAAAATGTATTTTATTGGGATTTTATGTGATAGACCAACACAAAGTGGCACATAAATGGTGAAGTGGAAGAAAAAAAGAAATGGTTTTCAAACTTTTTTTACAAATATCTGAAAAGATATTTGTATTCAGCCCCCTTTCTCAGAGATCCCCTAACTAAAATCTAGTGGAACCAATTGCCTTCAGAAGTAATTTAATTAGTAAATAGAGGCCACCTGTGTGTAATTTAATCTCAGTATCTTCTGTGAGGCCCTCAGAGGTTTGTTAGAGAACATTAGTAAACAAACAGCATCAAGAAGGCTGAAGAAAAATATCCCAAGCTTTCAACATCTCATGGAACACTGGTCAACCCATCATCTGACAATGGAAAGAGTATGGAACAACCACAAACCTACAAAGACATGGCCGTCCAACTGACAGGCCGGGCAAGGAAAGCATTAATCAGAGAAGCAGCCAAGAGGCCCATGGTAACTCTGGAGGAGCTGCAGAGATCTACAGCTCAGGTGGGAGAATCTGTCCACAGGACAACTATTAGCTGTGTGCTCATGAAAACTAACACTGCACATCACCCTGAACACACCATCCGCACTGTGAAACATGGTGGTGCCAGCATCATGTTGTGGGGATGCTTTTCTTCAGCAGGGACAGAGAAGCTGGTCAGTGTTGATGGGAAGATGAATGGAGCCAAAATACAGGGCAATCTTAGAAGAAAACCTGTTAGAGTCTGCAAAAGACTTGAGACTGGGGCGGAGGTTCACCTTCCAGCAGGACAATGACCCGAAACATACAGCCAGAGCTACAATGGAATGGTTTTAGATCAAAGCATGTGTTAGAATGGTCCAGACCTAAATCCAATTGAGAGTCTGTGGCAAGACATGAAAACTGCTGTTCAAAAACACTTTCCATCCAGTCTGACAGAGCTTGAGCTATTTTGCAAAGAATGGGCAAAAATGTCCCTCTCTAGATGTCTTTTAGTGATATCCCCAAAAAGACTTGCAGCTATAATTGCAGCAAAAGGTAGTTCTACAAAGTATTGACTCCAGGGGCTGAATACAAATGCATGTCACACGTTTCACAGATTTATACATTTTGTAACATTTTTAAAACAATTTGTCATTTTCCTTCCACTTCACAATTATGTTCTCCTGTGTTGGTCGATCACATAAAATACATTTGTTTTTGGTTGTAACATGAGAACATGTGGAAAAACTTCAAGGGGTATGAATACTTTTTCAAGGCACTATACTTCTGCATCTGCCTCAATACTAACTTTGCTGTCTACCCCTTGTTCTTCTGTCTTCACACGGACTCTTTGGTTCCCTTTCCTTGTTCTTGTGGTTGGTTACTTACTGCAGCCTTTGGTCTACACTCCATAGCGGTCATTTTCAAGCTCCTGTTTTTGATTCTCTCACTTTGTGGTTTACACTGGAATACGCCAGGTCACTTTTTACCTAAGCATTGTTATCAGATGTTTCCTGATATCCTACCTGATTGATAATTTGATGCCTTCGCTTCAGTACTTTGCACTTCCGATTCTAGTGAGACTGTTTATCATTACTTACTGTACACCTTTTTGTGTGTTAAAGGCTAATTGTTCAATAAAAGTTAAATTTAAAAAAAAACAAACAAACAAAAAAAAAAAAAAACACTTTCAACAGCTGAATGCAAATGGGGGGGTTCGATGGAAATGTATGAACCAGAGAGCATGTTTTAGTATAGATCACACTGCTCAAAAGCCTCC